CTCTGCCTTCTGTCCGCACAGGGACAGAAGGCAGAGGGCACCAGGGACGGGAGACAGAGGGCAGCGGGTGCAGCTTTGGAAGCCCGGGATTTTTTTTCTTTGCCTGGACTGATTAAATGGTTTTCAATGCATTCCTACGGGAAATGGACCCTCGACCTATGGATTTTTCGACCTGCGGCCACCGTTCCAATACGGATTCATTCCGTAAGTCGAGGGTCCACTGTAGAGCTGGTAGAATCAATGGTTGATTGAGGTGGAATTCAGAGACAATTTTGGGTAAAAATGAAACATCACAATAGAGGTCACCTCATCCGGATGGAACTGTAGGAAGGGTGGGTCCAATCTGAGGGCTGCAAGCTTGCTAGAATGTTTAGCAGATGTTATTGCTACAAGGAATTATGTTTTTAAGGAAAGTAATTTGAAATTAGTAGTAGCCATTGGGTCGAAAGGTGGTCGAGTGAATTTATTAATGTTTCTAAGGTTGACAATAGGACGGAGTCCTCCATCCTTTTTGGGGACTGTAAAATATCTGAAGTAAAATCCATCATGCAGGGTAGAGGAAGGGACTATGAGTATGGTTTGTTTTTGTAGGAAACTTCTCCACGGAGAGCAAGCGAGTATGGAGTAGTCTTAATGGTGCCAGAGGGTGGGGTAGGTTGTAATTCAATGAAATAACCATTTTGCATAATAGAAAGAACCGACTGATCATTAGTGATTTGGCGCCAAGCAGTGATGAATGGATAAAGTCTAGTTTGGAATGTAGATAGAAGGGGGTCTATGGATATTGTTTACCCTTCTTTTGAGGGCGTCGAAACGGCTGTCAGTGTGGTTGTTGCTGTTGAGGTCAAAAAGCAGGCGTTGAAGATGTAGATGGACTTGGATCAGATCCAGCAGAAGTTTGTGGTTTGTACAGTTGATATGATTGTTGGTAAGGTTGAAACTGCTGGTGAAAGAAAGGCTATCTCTGGAATTGAAGCCATTGATACCGGTAAGATTGTTGGGTGGAATATGACTGTGCCATCTTACAGAATTTATGAAGATTGTCCCATTACTTCATCTGTTTTAGTACGGAAAAGGCCAGCACCATCAAATGGAAGGTCTTCTATCCTTGACCTAGTATCATCTGAGATACCAGCCAATCTCAGCCATGCGTGGCGCCTCAAGGCAATAGAGGTGGACATAGCTTTAGAGACCACATCTGCGCTATGGCGTGAAGCAATTCTCTGCTGTTTAGCCAAGGTTGAGGCTTCGGTGTGGATACTTAAGGCCTCATTCTTGGTGGTGTCTGGAACCAGTTGAATGACAGGTAGAATTCTATCCCATAGCTGGCGGTGGTACACGCCCATAGCGGCTTGATAATTAGCGACCCTCATGATAAATGACATGAGAGAATAGAAATGTCTCCTGAGAATGTCTAGCTTTCTTCCGTCTCGGTTGGTGGGAGCTATGGATGATTTATTATGTGCTCTCAATTGATTAGATTACACAATAATTGAATTTGGTGTCAGATGTTTGGAGAGAAAAGCTGTGTCTGGGCCGTGAGTTTTGTAGTGATTTTCAACACGTCTCGAAATTTGGAGGGAGGTTTGTCCCATGATTCTTTTACTAAATCGAGCATAGCTGGAAGCTATGGATGATTTATTATGTGCTCTCGATTGATTACACAATAATTGAATTTGGTGTTGGATGTTTGGAAAGAAAAGCTGTGTCTGGGCCGTGAGTTTTGTAGTGATTTTCAACACGTCTCGAAATTTGAAGTGAGGAGGGAGGTTTGTCCCATGATTCTTTTACTAAATCGAGCATAGCTGGGATGAAACTCAAGCTAAGGGGTGGTGTCTTATCCTTCTCTAGGTCATCAAAGACCAGGTCTTTCTTTTAAAGTGATAGTTCTTCGGTATCCAGTTGTAAAGACTTTCCCATTCACATGACGAGCTGAGAATAAGATGTGAAATTCTCTGATGGGGATGGTGGATGGTTTTCGCCCACATCAGAAGATGGAGTTGGTAAACAGTGGGTAATTCTTGGGATATACCGGATGTTGAATCTTGAGTAGAAAGAGAGGATTGTGAGGATGGTTATCGATGCAGATGGTTGTCATGGTGGAGGTGGAGGTACACTTGATACCGGCCCTGTTCGATGTCAGGAGGTGGTGGAGACCTGGAGAGATATATGATGTTGAGTGCCTGCAAGAGTGCTTAGCTCATTTGGGTTGTGGTAAGGACTCCATTACTGGGAGACTGCACTTGAGAGCTGATTTCATAGGGACTGATGTATGGTGAGTCAATGTTGGATACATCGTAGATGAACGATGTCGGTATTGTGGCGGTGAAAGTGATATGGAAGGCGAGTATCGGGGTGGAGAGGCATATCTCACCAGGACTCCAGTACTGGGAGACTGCACTTGAGAGCTGATTTCATAGGGACTGATGTATGGTGAGTCAATGTTGGATACATCGTAGATGAACGATGTCGGTATTGTGGTGGTGAAAGTGATATGGAAGGCGAGTATCAGGGTGGAGAGGCGTATCTCACCCTTCTTGGTTCATCATAATAGACATGCTCAGTCCGGCCTTCATGACAGTAGGGGTTGTAGTGGTGGTACTGATCCCCATAGTCATCTTGAGTTGGGTATCAAGACGGTTCATGATACAGTAATAGTAAATTTCCCTACATGGAGGGGCATATTGGATTGGAGAAAAGTGTCGTCTCTTCACCTGCGCTTGCAGGGAGATTGGTGAAATGATTCTGAACCAGAGACCTGAATAAGTATTGCCTGCCGTGATGATCTAGGTCTTGAATTTGGAGAAAAGTGTCGTCTCTTCACCCAGTGCTTGCAGGGAGATTGGTGAGATGATTCCGAACCAGAGACCTGAATAAGTATTGCCTGCCCTGATGATCTAGGGCTTGAGGCTGGGCTGGAATGAACATCAGCCGGAGATAGGCCAGTACTCGGCGAAAGGCTGGTAATGGAGCCACAGCCTGAGCCGGTGTTAAAAGTTGGATTGTCTCTATCTGAAATCGAGCCAGGGCGTCTCTAGATGACTCCTCAAGGATCAGTGGTGGAGGCCCTTGTTGAGGTGGATCTATTTGAGTCAATTTTGTACGATTCTTAGTTTTCTTGGTTCGATTCTTAAGTTTTCTTAGGTTTGGCCTTATTGTTCTTTTTCCTAGACAAGCTATCGGGATTGGAGCTTTCGACATGGACGTAGAGCTTGATTTCAAAGCAGACTTCGAAATATCTTTTTTGACGAGGTGATGGAGTTATCGAGCTCGATATCGGGTGAGTAGTTTCTCGACGCTCTGGACGCGAAGTTGGAGAGGTTGGTGTGTCCATGAGAGCTGGACTGAGAGACTTTTCCCAAAGGAAAAGTCTTTGTAGGCGTAGTTTTAGAGCGGGTTTTGTAAGTTTTTTGCACTTTGGGCAGGAGTGTGTTTGGTGCTGTTCCGCTGAGCAAAAAAGGCAATGGTCATGACCGTCAGTAAGTGGTATCTTATTCGTGCAAAGCACACATCGCTTGAAAGGCCCTGGGGGGGCCATCAAAGGTTGAGGGAAAAGAGAGGGAAAGTGGTGATGGGGGAAGGGGGAGAAAAATGTGGGAAGATTAAAAGTGCATGGCTTGAAAGGCCCTGGGGGGGCATCAAAGGTTGAGGGAAAAGGGAGGGAAAGTGGTGATAGGGGGAGGGGGAGAAAAATGTGGGAAGATTAAAAGGAGTGAGGTAAATTGAAGAGGAAAAACGGACAATTTACAAGGGAATGTCCAACAAAGATATAATTAAAATAGAAAATGAAAGAAATTATTGAAAGAATCGATGAATAGGCAGTAAATGATCTCAATAATCACTCTAGAGTTCTGAAACAGGTCCAACCGAAGCGGCGGCAAAAAAGGAACTGAGGGGACTTTTGGAGGGCACAGCATGCACTCCACGGGGGAACATCCTACTAATCACATGTCTTTAAGCTCTAGAAACTTCCGAGACGTCCTGCGTAGGCGCAGAACAATCCAATTGTGTGATTCACAGAGGCCACAAAGAAGTAGTGGTTCTTGGCCAGATCACTATTCTAGGTGATTATCTGGAATACAGTTACTGCTTTAAATTTGGGTTGTAATCTGCTAGCCACAAAGCAGTATTACTACACCTAACAGGAATGCTCTAGGGTGAAGAGGTAATGGGTCACATTCCGCAATGTCTGTCCACCAACAAAGCAAACCACACTGGCAAAAGAAATTCTCTCTCCTCTCTGCAGCCCTCTCCCAATCTCCCATCTAGAACAGATGGGGTGGGCATTATAAACTGGAAGAAAACAAACTTTTATCGAATAAGGAGAAACCCTATCATTCAACACTAGATAATGTTCTATGGTTTTTATTTGAATAAACACGTGGCAATAGTCTTCACAGCCACCCTCTGCAAAATAGCATTTTAAATTTTTAGCCGGTATCTTCAACATATTCTATTCGGTTCCTTCTTCCTGTTTCCCTCTCATTTACAGAAAGGAAAACCAAAATCACTTCATCAGGTTCAAGAGAAAATGGTGGTGGTGGTGATGCAACATCTATATTTGCACAAATATTTTTTGCTCTTAAATATATGTTCAATTAGGAGTACTGGAAACTCCTTATTCAAATTACGTACAAACTGAGGAGGAACTCACATTTTCCTCATATCTGAGAAATGCCAAATTTTATCACAAGATTTAAATGACAAAAATGGACCTAGTTTACTATGAAATGTGGTGGAAGTACAAATATGAGTTGAAATGTGTTGCTGTAGGCATCAATCTCTTTTAAATTAAAAAGGCTCATATTATTTTTCTTCATTTATATTTTTTAGATGAACTACAGTTCTGGAAAGTTTTGTCTTCTCAACCTGTTTGGAAAACAACTGGAATTACTCAGCATTAGCATCTCCTGCATCTCTTCCACAAGCAAGCTGAAGTTGCTCCTGCACCAAGGCTTCCTTCCAGCTCTGCACTTCTAAGATTTAACATCATAATCACACCATAGTTCAGATTCAAGCAGATGCCATAACTGTATGCCCTCTTGTAGGCTAACCTTTCTCCGCTGGGTCTTGAAATGACTAATTTTATACAGAGCCATCACAGGAATAATGCCAGAAAAACAAAAATACCGTGCCCATCCCCATTTCCACAGGCATCTAACTGAAAAACAGAAGTAAAATATTTAGCTGACTGACAGTATCAATTTTTGATTCTCATTTATGCCTCTACTCCTCCAAAAACAGACCTGATGATATGAAAAAATATTTATGTACATACCCGCACTCCTGAGGTGAAATGTCCTGTTCCTGACGAGTCCTAAAGATGATAATGCAGTGAAATAATCCAAACAGGGGGAGTCAATCCAAAAGAATTGTCCAGAAAGGAAAAATATATCCAATATCATAAGAAATCCATGGTGATGGGGACATATTAAATGTTTAATACAATTAGAACCTTTAAACATAAGTCTTGATAGCAGCAATCAACTTCAAAAATTTGATTTTGCAAGGGTGAGGCATAGTATAGAAACATTATATTTTAAATGCATGTTCCAATGCCAGTCACTTTACTAAAAAGTAAGAAAAAAGTGAAATAAAATATCTATGTAAAAGGAAAATTATATTACGTTTTCAATATTACACTGTAGTTCTCTCCTCCCTGTCTTGGAGAAAGATTTCCACAGACATGGGAAAGAATATGAGACATGCTTTCATACACAGAATTACTCATGTTTTTTCCTCTTCTTATCTGTCCCAAAAGCATTAGGTGAAAAATGTTTTTGAAACCACATATGTAATAGATATAATGGTTTAAGTTTCATTTTCTAAGATGGCCACTTTAAACTTCTATAAACTACATGTGTATCAGGCCGCCGCGGATTATTCTTGGATTGACTTCCCCACCAATGGATTTTTAACATTTTAAGTAGTTTGGGTGCCATCTTGTTAGGATGCTTCAGGAACTGGACATGACACTTCAGAAGTTCTGTTAAGCTCTTAACTGTTTTTTTCCCCTTCCCATTATTACAGCTCCCTTCTTTACACCCTCATGCTCATTGAGAGGGGCGGGGTGTTTTTCTTCTACAAGAGTCCACTTACATTGAAAGAAACACACTGCATCGTTTAACTCCTATGACAATTTGCTCGCCTTTTTTATTCACCCACTAAGAACTACACAAAAGCATACAAACAATAAACATTAAAAGCAAGGACTGTCACAGTTACAGGCCATACAGTCAATAATAGAGCTTGCCAACACTTAAGCACAATGAGGCGCATTTCAAGCCAGGGATGGTTTCAGCGTTCTATTGTGCCTAGGTGCAAAATGGTGGGTGGTAGAGCTTGCTGTTAGCTGTGAACTGCCCTCACTATTATGTTTCAAGAAAATTTGTTACTATATTTAATGTAGTTTTCAGTGAGGGAATTGCTCGGGTAAATAATCCGCGGATTATTTTTTAGTCTGCGGACTAAAATTTAGCACTCGGTCCAAAAGCTGGCCTTTAGCGCTGAAATCTATTACAGTCTAAAACAGTCTCGGCAAAGGAAAGGAAAAGCTAAGAGCAAAAAAGAGAATGCAATTTGGCGGACTAACCTTTAGTATGCAGACTAAATACGGCCAGGTAAAATGCACAGAAAAGCCACAAGCAGAAAACTAAAACTAAAGCACAACATGTGAACACTGACAGAACTTTTAAATATTACCTTGCTTTTTTCAGAAATGGATGTCATTATCATCACAGACCTATTACTATTTTCAGCTGATTTGTTCCCTTACTCATACAATGATAAAACAAGATGGAACATGTACATATATGTTTGGAACCTACAACCAACGTTGCAGCTGAAGAGTGCTCACTGTTAGGACTCCAGCCAAGGTACTGCGCCACACTCCCACATCCTAGTCCTCCATCCAAAAGACAGTCAACATTTGTGGTCACTCAACATTTACCAATTGCCATCTCCAATGACCCTTAGGACCTGATCACTCGAGGCAAATGTTCCCCATGCCTAACAATACTTTCCATTATCTCTGTTGTACTGAACTGCAGTCATGTAGTATATGTATCTGGACAAATGTTCCCATTTGTTTTAAGGTTACTGATTCATTTCTTCCTGTTTGAAACCTTATGGCCAGTTACACTGTAGAACTGATTTTCTACTTGTCTCCTTCATATACAGCTCCTTACTTTTGATTTTTTAAAAGTAAAAAAATATAAAGCCCCTAATCCATGTCTCTCTTCCTCCTTTCTTCCGCCAGCAAAGGCCGGGCATACCCTCTGCCCATGCACCAAGCCCCGTGGACATGCTTTTTCAAGAATCAAGGCACTAAAGGAAAAAATGAAACCAAGATTAGGGGTGCTGAAACTTCGACAAGATGACCCAGGAGAGAGCCTTCTTCGTTGCTGCTCCCAGACTTTGGAATTCCCTCCCACAGGACGCCAGGCTTGCCACATCTTTGCTGTCCTTCCACAAGCAGGTGAAAACCTTTCTCTCCATGCAAGCTTTCCTGCAGCGACTAGCTGCATGAATGGGATTTTTAAATGGATTGTTATGCATTATGGTTTTGAATGTGATTTTAATATTGCTTGTGTTTATCCTTCCTCAGAGTGGTATTTTGTCCTTTAAGTATCTGTAGGCTTATTCTTTTTAGATTTAAATATAATCTTTTAATGATGTAAGCCACCTTGGGTCCTTTTAAAGGAGA